AGAGAAATGCTTGAATGCTGAAGGCAAGACTTAGAAGACGACATGGGAAAATATTATAGCATCCAGGTCAGCCACAAATACATTTCCCCTCTGGTAGGCTGAATTTTCCATGGAAAAATGTCATACGCTCTCTAGATTGTTATAATTCCAGGTTTATTGTAGATAGTTTTTCTCAGAATGAAGTGGGACTATAGGCTTTTTTTCCTACTAGCCTTTTAACAAGCAAACATTATTCTAAATCTTGATTAAAACTGCTTTTTGTTCCATGTTTCTCCATTTCATAGTCAGCAGGGCACACTAGATCTGCTTAAGTGTTTACTATTAGATTTATGTGTGAACATAACAATTCTGTTTAGCTGACAAATATTCGTTTGGAATTTAGTTTGATGTAGACGTTATCGTGAGAACTTCACATTTTCATACCTCTGACACATCCACATCCACCCAGTTCCTTCCACTAAATCCTGGAAAACACTGATCTGGCAATGAGTGAATGTCCCCGGGGGAGTAAGATATGCAAACAAACGCTTCCAGGTTAGTGACAGCTCTTCTGGTCTTTCACTTGATGCTGTTTATCCTCTTTGCACTTGGAACAATGCAGTGAAACCGGCCAGTTTCGCTGTCTAAGGTGTTGCGTGATGATACTGTTTTATTGAAGTATCTGACAATTCAAACAAATATATCCAGGCTCGAATGGTGATACTTGCCTGATTGTTTTTAACGGGGTGGAAGATAGGTGAGAGCCAAATGCTTATCTTGCATGTGAGTTGCTTGGCCTCACAGCTTGTGCAATTCTCTCTATTTTTTCTGACTACTTTAGAGAAAGAAGCGGGGAAAGGAGGGAGAGGAGAGCAGAATCATATCGTATGGAAAAGAGAAAGAAGCTTGTCAGCACGAGTTTGTAGTTGCTGACCTTTTTCTTTCCTTCTAACAATGAATTAAACTTCTAGTCTAATCATGTTTAACTTGTTAATAACTCTTCTATTTTAAAAGTGTAAGAGACTGACTTTTTTCTTAAGAACTTATCAAGATGAGGAAAAATAGAAGTAAATTCCTCAGCTCACCAGGTGGTGCTTTTAATTTGCTCACAGGTATTACTCAGAGGTTGAAATGGTAAACTTCCTTCTATTTAACTCTGCCAGAAATGAGTTTTGTGAAAGCACCCTTTTGTGTGCATAATATCTCGAGTCTGCAAGTCATGCACAATGATTTGTATGGCAAGAATGGGCTGCATCTATTTATTCTGGGAAGAAAATATCCCTCTTCGTTTCTTTGGGTGAAAGCTGGAACTTCTTTGTACTAGTTCTACATGAAAGTGGTGTTTGATTTATTTGGAGCAGAATTCTTACATTAAAGCAAACATCCACTAGTTTTGCTGTGTTTTTAAAAAAAAGCGTGGAGGATTTGGTGCAGTATGTAGTATGGATGTGAGCAGCCTTAACGAAAGGAGACTTGAGTTTGTGTCCCCATGTGCCACGTGCCACACAGCTCCCTGCCCAGAGCTGCTCTGTCCAGCTCACCTGTGTTCGTGCGTGCGCGTTAGTAGGGTTTATCTAAAGCATTTGGTTTTTTATGCAGATGGTTATCTGCATCCACAACCATGAGTAATCTTTGCTGTCTCTGGAACTTTGTAAACTGGTTTCCCGTTGGCTGGCTATAGATCTTGCAAAGGAACACAGATGAATGTTTATTGGCAAAGCAGAAAGGTTATAGCCCAGGTAAAAACAAAGGGAGAAGTGTCAACAGGATGTCTGTTGTTTGATCTAGACTGTCTTTGGGAGTTTGCTATTTTTAAGCATTCTTCCTGTGAACCTTTGTGAACTCCCTCTCTGCTGAAAATTCCTGACAAGGGCATTTGGTTGCAGATGCTAAAAATCCAGGTATTTTCCTGTGTTAATATAGCATACTGTACAAAAACATTTGCAGCTTTTCAGTGTACAGAAGACTGATCATCCCTCTTGTGTGGCTAAGTGAAACTGATATTTTCATGCTGAGAGGAAGTGTGATACAGCTTGTACAGCCAGTGCTCAAGAACTAGGGTTTATTTTAGTCTGTGCTGATTCTTGATGTGCAGCTGTTAGCCAGTCTTAATGGAAAATACCTGCCTTGCAAAGTGTTTCCTGTGTCTGTTCGATAGCTGTATCAGGCTGAGCACTGTGTATGTTGGGTGGGACTTGGTATTTAGAAGGAGATCTTGCCTTCCGTGATTGTTATCAGTGTGAAAGCCTGGGTTTTAAAGCTATGTCTGTGACATTAACTTGGAAGTATCATTCCAGTTCAGGCAGCTAATCTGAATTTGCAGTGTTTGAGTTCCAAGCTGAAAATACAGATGTTAGAAATCCTGAAAGGTGCTCCGTACCACCAACTCTTCGTAAACTCTTCAAGTGTTACATGGGTAGCAACTTCATGAGCAGGCCATGAGATTATTTTATTTAGTAATCAAAAAGATCACCACCGCTGAATGTCCATAACTATGCCTGGCAGGTTCATGAGCTTACAATGGATAGCAATTATCCCATTTTCTTGGAAGTGTCTTATCCTGCATTCAGATGGGACTTCTCTCATGTGCATTTGATTCAGTGCAATGTTCTTCACTGCTGCTCTGGGAGCTTCTTGTCATATATGTTGCCGCGTTATGAATTGCTGCTTCCAGCAGGATTCTGGGAATAACAAGCCATATAAAGAGAATAACTTAATTTTAAGTCTCATAGTGATACTTTCTCTTTTAAAAGAAGGGCAGTCAGGAAAAGCAGGATTGAGAGATTTTGAAGTAGAACATTGTATCGTGGAAAGTCTTATTTTTATTCAAATATATGATTCAAAATCAATGCTATGGGTAAATCCAGCCTGAAAAATTATAGTGACTCTTGTGAGTTGGCCTTTGCATTGTGTGCTAGAGGGCTCTAGTCTGCAATGGTGAGGAGACAGGAACACTCCTGTCTCCTCTTCTGTGAGGAGACAGGAACACTCTTTTGTGTTTCAGGTGTTTAGCTGTTTGCTACAACACTTGAAAATCCTGGGTTTCCATGCATAAAGGGTTCAACTGCTGAGATATCAAAGGAGTTCTGTATTCATTTTGTTACTTGATCTACTTGATAAGATGAGCGATCTGCTGCATTGTATGCTTCTGCATGTGCTGAGAGGTTTGAGTATTGGGTTTTTTTTGCTTTTGGAGAGGGGCTAGTTTTGTTTCCCTGTTACTGTGCATTAGGTACAGCTTATTCTAGAAGTAGAACAAACTGACTTGGGCATGTTCTGGCATGACTGTTCTTAATGTTCCTCCTTTCCCTCAGTTTTTAACATTGGCATTTTTTTTATTTGTTTGGAAGCAGAAAGCTGCAGGAAATCTCATGTACATAAATAACTGTTCTATTCTTTAAGTCTCCTAGATCATAGGTTGAGCTGATTGGAGCCAGTGTGCTAAGGCTAATGGAAAAAGATCTTTGAAATGTCTAGTATATATTTAGTCCCTTGAATTCAACTTCTGTGTACTGATCTATAAAGTCTGTGAACGTTTGGGTATTGAATTTAAAGACAAACAGAGATTGTTCAGCAAGTACAGACACTTTGTAGAATGTTTTTTTTGCGGCAAAAGCAGCCTGTAAGTCCTCTCAAATCAGTGTTGGTTTATGAAATGATAGCAGAACAGGCATAATGCTGTTGGATTAAGGGCCAGAACAAACCTGTTATTCAAAGACTGTTGTTAATATAGAAGTGCTCAAACCTAACTAGTGCTGTCATTGGATGTAGGACCATCACCTGTCCCTGAAGGATTCTGGTTTAAATCCAGCTTAGATTAAGTAAAAAGTTAAATTTTAGTTGGTTAAACATTGTGGAGGGTTCTTTTGAGAACTTCAGGAAACCCCTGGAATTAGTATGAGATGACTTGAGTTGGTTGGAGAATTTTAATGCTCCTGTAGTGTCACATTACAGCATACTTGAAAACAATTTGGTCTTAGTCTTGAGGTGAATGTTTTCAAGATGGTGCCGTTGTGAATGAGGACAATAGCACTCATGCTTTAAAGTTAAGCAGGGTTGTCTGCTTCTGTTTTTGAAAAGTGGTAGTTGTCATAGTATAGGCTGGAGGAACGTGGTAAGCTGGAGGCTTGCTTGATAGGCTTGGGGCTTCTCTTCTCACTTGCCATCCAGGAAAGGATGCAGACAGACTTTTTCTGCAAATACATGCTCCGGTTCCGTTAAGTTTTAGCGTTTAAATAAAGCCTCCTTCGTTTGAGGCTTTCTTGTCTGGAAAGTCAAGACTTGGTGTATCAGACTTGGTCTACTGAGTATGTGCTGTCTGCATCTCTGAGTGGACTAATCAAAGGGAAACGCAAGATGGTTCCCATTGGTGCAGTGCTGTCTGACTTGATGCCTCTCTGAAGTACATTACCGTTAGGCCTCAAATTCTGCAGGTCTGACTTAGTTAACTACTTTTTGATATGTGGTCAGAAGAAAAAAATCCTTTCCTCACTCCCAAACAGTTGTAACTGTACTGTCTCATAACTGTGTTATCTCTTCCTGCGGTAAGATGAATTAAAGTTAGCAAAATCACACTGAGGTCATTGAAGGGTTAGATCTGTTGGCAAACTGATGCTGCTCGTGCTGTTTCAGACCTCTCCCTTTTAGCAGCAGCAGCACTTGTATAAACTTGAAAACACACACAGAAGCAGCAATGTCTTCTAGTATAACCTACAGCACTGGGATCATTGGTAGATGCATCCACTTGAATGGTTCAGGTGCTGCCGTTGTGGGAATACTTTCCACCCTGTTTTTGTAAAAGGATTTACTTTATTCTTTTACCTAGTTGTGAAAAAATCAGTTCTTTTTTTTTTTTTTTTCCTGCCCCCTGGTTAATAGAAATAATGAAATGCAGGAAAAAGGTAATTTCATTATTCTAGAGTGTGTATATCCTTGGGATTTTTCAATCAAATTGTAGGTATTTGTTTTTGCCATAGTTCACAGTCATTCATTCTGTTACTTTTTGTATTCTACGTCTCTAGATACCTGCTTGAACAAGACTTTCCAGGCATGCGAATTGGTCCAGAGCCTACCACGGATTCTTTTATTGCTGTTATGTATGGAGATTCAGAAGGAAGTATCCCTGGAAATGCCCTAGTTGTTGATCCTAAGAAGCCATTCCGCAAACTCAGCCGCTTTGGAAATGCTTTCCTGAACAGGTGAGATCCGTTTGCTTGCTGTCTTTTGATTTTATTTTTTTAATGTTTAAATTTGTACCTGATACCATTTTCAAGCATCCATGTTTTTTACTGAGTTTTTTCTACTGTATTTGTTTTGAACAGCATGGAATAAATATTCAAATACAAGCAGAAGCAGTGGCAGTTCAAGTGAATTTAAAAACAAACAAAAAAAACCTACCAGTGCTAGGTAAGGTAGTACTAGCATAGATATATTCAGTTACCAAACAGAAAAAAATATTAAAACCAGTTCACAGAAAATTGCTGAAATGCTCCACCAGCTGACATGACTGTAAGATGTTATGCAAGCTGGAACGCAGAGTCAGTTGGGGCACAAATTCTCCCACTCAATAAAACTGATAGATTAGCACTATTATTAAAAACTAGCATCCAAAAAAAGGAAAAAAATACTTTGATGTTGTCTTGTTCCTTTCCACTGGTCTCACCAGAGGTCTTGATATAGCACTTAAAAATTGTGAATTGCTGGATTATCTAAAAAGGCCTACAAGAATACACGAATATTTGAATTTAATTTTTGAATATTTGAATATACGTTCTGGATAAATATGTATTCAGACTGTTAAGGGTTTAATTTTGACTAGCTGGTCTTCAGGCAGTCCCATAGACGGGGATGATGGTGTTAGTTTCTGGATGGCTGCTGTGTATTTGCGAAAAAGGGAAGAGTTGTTCGTTGGCCGTGAATATTGCCATAGGTAACTTAACTGGAAACATTTAGCCTGTTACTTAAAAGTTATTAATAACTTTGCATTGTGTGAGCGATCACCTTGTTTTCTTCCTGTATTTGATGGTAGCTTGAGATGGAGGCCTGGCTTTGCAAGCCAATTAATCTAAATTGGTTCTCTTTTAACAATAAACTTTCCTGTTTGGCCGATAACCACTGGCATGTGTGTTAAAAGTTCGTCATGTCTTATCTCTTGCTGTGCTTATTCACAGAAGAAAGTTTATAGCTGCTTATAGTTGGCTTAGCTATCACTTTGCTGAGAGATAAGAATATGTGCTGTGGGAAGCTGCAGTCAAGTCCCATTTTAAATAATATAGTTGTGGTCCAAGACCTCTTTCTGTGAAATTATTGGCTAAGTCTTGTCCTCCAGATCACTTTTCTGTTTCTCTTTC